TCACTCACAACCCGACCATCTTTGACTTGTCAACCGCAAGATAATGATCGTCCAAAAGCTCGACGTAAGTGAAAGTCTTTGGCTCACGCAGTCTGCAAAGGCACACTTCAATCCATATAAGTGGGTCGATGCCGGGTAAATACCCTTTCTATGATGCCCAAATGACTTCTTTCGGGCAGAGTAGGACTTCCTATAGGTACTGAACCATGATAAGCAATCACGGGTTCTTTCTCCGCCCTTCTTCTCCTTTGTCCACCTCTATGTCCACCTCAATGCCCACCTGCCCAACCTCGACAGACGTGCCGTGCTAGACGTGCTGAAGCCCATTCGCCTTGCTTCAGGTGTTCAGCGATCCACTCCTTGGCTTCGTCGCCCACCATCCTCACCGTAGGGGAGACCCGCTGGTCGCTGGCCGCTGTCGGTGGGTCGGCGGTGGGAAGGCCTGGCAGGTGGGTGGCAGTCTGGACATCAAGAAGTGCCTAAGCCGCCTAGTCAGGGAGATGATGAACTGGGAGATTTCTGAGATTGCTGATGATGAGCCGCTCTGAAAAGGATTGGAACATGCCCCTGTTCCACCTCCATCTTGAAAGAAAGAGTAGACTACGGTAAAATGTAATCTTAGCTTCCGTGCCAATGCCCTTTGAGATTTTTTGGTGCTCCTGTAAATCCTATTATTATAGGACCATGTCTTTGAGGTGTCAATATTATGTCCCATTGCCAAACTTGGCTTCGAACTTGGCTTCCCCTGACCTCAAACGCGCTGCTCACCGCTCTCCTCGCCCGCACCTGGACTCCACCGAGGAGGTGCCCCGACGCCGGGCGCGTCGCGCCGCAGCAGCAGCGACCAGGCGCGGAGCTGCCGCAGCGGGTCGCGCTCGCCGGCGCCGCCGTCGTTGCTGCCGGCGGCGATCTCCTCGTAGGTGCCGAGCGCCAACAAGCCTCGGGCGGTCGGCGGCGGGCGGTCGGAGAGGGCGTGAAGGGGGAGTGGGGGGCCCGGCAAAAGGATGAAATGAAGGAAATCTCGGGTTTGTTTGGAGGAGTGTTCGGGGTGAGATGCCCTCTAGTACCCTATATATCGCCAACCTCTCTGAACCTCTCCCTCCATACCCGGAATATTCAGTCTTTGGCCGTTTTCCGCAGGGTTGGGCCGTTGCTTGCTGTTGAACCCACATGAACTAGAGCAGCACTGGTCACCCCAAAAAGCTTACACTTTCACATATGTGTTGCGTCTTGTTTACTCTTTGAGCATCATTGATGATCGGTTCTGTCTGCATTTGCCCGACGGTCACGGTTCGAACCATGTGACCATCCGATCCGGGCGATGGGGGGGGGCGAGACGTGGAGCGATGTATTTGTTAGACGTTCCCAGGGCAGGATCTTTGACTATATGGGCTATGCTTCATGGGTTTGCTTCTTCGCGGTGCGAATGCTACTTTAGGTCTTGCATTTTCAGAGGGTATGCTTCGGGGGTATGCTTTGGGGTATGCTTCGCTTACGCCGAACATCCCAACTCTACATACAATCTACATACAGTAATTATATAAACAGGACACATGAAAGCAAATGCAACCCATGTGTCCTTCGCTCCAAGCAACGGTTTAAGATCCATCCGGCACCACCTGAGGCTGTTCAAGATGGCGGACTTGCGGGAGGAGTGTTGGTTTCCTGACCAAACCGCGGAATTGTTCAGACTCTCATGTTCAAAGCAATCTGTCAGACTAGCTCTCATCACACCGAAATCCACAGGAAGCCTCTGTTTATCAGATCTTGTCACCTATCCCATAGCATCCATGGGACTGGAATATACATTTACCATCATGTACATCCATCTTCCTGTCTCATGCTCCAGGTGACGTCACCGAATCGAGCTCCGCTCACCTGGGAGGTTGGTGTTGTAAATGGCCACCAGCTGCGGCTTCATCGCCTCCAAGCTCCGCCAGTCGCGCGCGAAATCCTCCGCGGAGGTCTCCACGTCAGGGTCCAAGAAGAGGAGTCCAGGAGGGGATTTGGCCATCTGCGTAGAGATCACCTCATGGCGAATGATGACTCGAGGTAAAATTGTTTCGACCATTTCTTCACGGGTCTGGTCGATGAAAATGTCGCCAGTGGCTGGCACTAGGTATTTTGAAGAAGAACTTAGGTCCAATATTCATCCCCCATCTAACTACATGTCCCAACTTCCAAATATCACGAAAACAACGCCTTAAATGATACCAACTAACCTTTCTGGAGTGGTTCTCTAACTAAACATCGCTCGCGACGACTCATCTTCTTGCGGCCAGCGGGGCGGCCTGGAGGAAGTCTTACGGAAGACTTGGTACTAAGAACATCGACCACATGCGGCTCTACTGGCATAAAGGGCTACCACAAGTAGGGGCATAGCAACAAGATACAGCTCAATGTAAGCTCACCATGAACGTTACTAAAAGATAAAAAGCGGCTCTAAAGATTCTGTTCCAACTTGGTGCTCAATCATTTGCAGCTCAGTGACTTCCAGCAGTTCCCGCTCACCATCTTCACCTCTGACCAGATCACGCGTGCTGCCTGCGATCAAAAGGGCGGACACCTCCCTGGATTGCCGCTGGAAGATCGCCTGGATCTCCTGCTCCGAGCGGATCGGTTTGATGAGCTGCACTGCCGTGCCCTGTTGCTGCAGTCGGTGAGCCACAAAGGACAGCCTGGCACGAAAAAAAAAGGGAACATCCCGATAGCACAGGCCGGAAGAAGCGTTCCCGCCTCCACGAGGGGGGTTTTCCGGATCTGACGAGCAACCGTTCTGGTGCATCGAGATGGAAGAGTTAAGTGAATCATCTGAGCCGATGACAGTTCCGGATACTCAACGTGACTGAGGTCCGGCGCAACTGCACAGTCTTAATGATTCGGTTTTCACTGGCGCGCCGTACTTCGGGCACATGCAACATTGAGGAACTCGAATCTCTCAAATGTGTTCAGAAGGACAGCCAAACCTGCAGGTTCCAGCCCGAAATTTGCTCGAATAATTTTGAGCACTCTGGCCATGAGACAAGCATGGCGAATGTCCTAAGCCCGATGGGCTGTAGAACGAGCACTAGGGGACCTCAATTAGCCTACAAGCCCCGGAACAAGCCTGGACTGCCCTCCAATTGCAGAGCGTTCAACTACGAAGCCGATTGCTCTAGCCAGGCCACCATATTTAAAAAGCGTTACCGTAGGTATTGGCAAAAAGTTAATTTATAGTGTAAGCCCACATGCCACTTCCCCATACGTATTCCGATTTTGTGGAATTGGAGGATGTATTAAACAACTGAAAGATCAGTTCAAAACCACTACGGTTGTTGAACAAACAAGGCCTCCTTCGAATTGAGGGGCCTCAAGCATTGCAGGCTATTCATGTATCATTGTTCTCTTGAAGCTTTCACACACCAAAAAAGACGAGCCCCCCAACATCCCCTCTTCTTCCCCAAAGAGTTCGCATCCCTAAGCATCCCACCTCTCCAAATCTCGCTCAAAGCTCACCAGGCTGCGGGAGCCTCCCTCACGGTGCTCACGCTGGGCAAGTGCATGGACCAACAAAGCGCTGCTGTCGCCCAGCCCGCTGTAGAGGTCCAGAACCGGCCCTGTGGACAACCTGTGGCAGAAGCATGTAGTCCAGCAGATAGAAGGAGTCATTTACAGGGTCAACTAAAACAGGTGACCCTCAGTCAGACATGTCATCTTGACTTCTCGGTCAATCTTCACCTCCCGTGCCCTTAACCCCGCGGACCGCGTCTACCAGTGCCCGCGGGTCGCGGTCCGAACTTGTGTGCGGCCCACGGGGCATCGCCGCGCACCAGAGCGTGCGCCCGAAGAGGGTGCTGCGCCCCGCCCCGCCGAAGAGCGACGCCACCGGGATCGCAGCACAGAGGGCCGCAGAGGTGTCGTTTTCCTCTGAAAAGGGGGGGCTCTTTTGTTGTGTTTTGAAAGGCGAGAATGCTTCTACAGTCTGAATGGGGTGGGTATTCTTAATTACTGTCTGGCCAAATGGATCAAGATATGGGGGCCTTCGAACCCCACTGATGTCTTCGGATTCTTCTCGCCCCCCTGTCGACCAAAAACTGTTCTCCTCCACTTGGTTCTCATGGCAAACCTCCGCAGCACAGAGTTGCAGGGCCATTGTCCAGGCTTTCTCTGCACCACATTGCCCCGCGAGGACGAGGACGGCCAGCACCCGGACGGTGCTGGCCACCCGGACATCGCGTCGACCCATGGCGGCGGTTTCGCGAGGTGTCGACCCATGGAATGACCCCCAAATTGGGATTTGGAGGTGCGGTGTTTCTCTGTTCCTGCAAGGGAGCTGAAACCTACGGACACCTTTTAGGCAGGAACAGGGGCCGCTAGGGATGTCAAATCGAAAGTTTCGAGGAGGAACATTCTTCCGTCCAGATGCTTTGAACGACAGATGCTCGACAAATACGCGGTTGACTCGCCCTATATACCTCTTGGACTACCTCCTGGAGTAGTGCTGAAGTATTCAACCTCCGATCAAACAACTCTAAAATAAACAGTCAGCCTACCAGGAGATGCTCACTTGCCATGGCGTGAAAAGGGCCTAGTTGCAGTGTTCACCCACTGTCGAGGTAGTGCTGCGGGGTTCTTTGTGGCCTTCCAAGCTTGTTTGTTGATGTGCTCTGAACGGGGCTTGAGCTAGCCTGCAGAACATGTAGGGCCATGCAGGGAATCGCAAGAAAGAAAGAAAGAAAGAAAGAAAAATGTGCTCTGAACCCAGTCCAGATGTTCATCTTTCTCAATGCTGATTGTCGGAGCACTGTTCTGTGGCAACTGTGAACCAGGGTCTCATGAACCTGTCAAAACGGCCCACAACGGCCCTTTAAAGCTTCCCCTCCATCCAAGAAAGATGGAACTAAAGCACACCCAGCAACATAGATGATTAAATCATCTTCGAGGAAATCTATTCTTTGCCGAAGGTTGACACCCCACGGACCGCAATCGTCCTCACAATGCCACATCGTCCACCGAGGCACGATGAGCTTGTGGAAGTCTTTGTCGAAGCGCTCGATGCTCTTGGGCACCGGAGCACGGGTGATGTGTCCCAGCCAGTCCATGAAAAGGAAGCCTGGCAGATGTCTCCAAAGCGAAACCAGACAGGGGGTTCAAATTGCATCTGTTTGTGGGGAGGCTTCTCTCCACATGATGGTGGGGGAGGAATTTTGGAAATTCTCACAACACTCAGGCAGTCTTTGCCAGTCGGATGTTTTCCAAAAAATTGATCTTGTTTGGAGGATGCGTGTCCTTCTGCAAACATCTTTTGACTGCCAACATATATAGTGACGGCCTGGAACTTAGAATGCCTCCGCACTTTCCAAACGAAAATACCCTGAGTATAGAATGACCCGTTTTTTTTAAAAATGGGGCAACTTAGAATGGCCGCGCGGGTAAATGGTGGAGGGGCATTCTAAGTTCCAGACCCTAAGTGAGGCGCGTATTCATTCCAGGCTTGCAAAAGGGCCCGAAAGCATGCAATCTATGTATAAAATCTGCGCAATCAATCCTGTGCGTGGCAGTCCCCTTGATTTGATGCGCCCATGCCCTGAACCGACAAGAATGGCAAGGGATGCAGCGAGTGAAGTGCTTGACAAGACCCAACACTGCTAACATCTGCATAAAACATCATAGCGTCGGACTCGGACTGAGCCTCAGAATGCCCGTTTTGAAAAAACTTACACCCGGCAAGATGACCCAAAAGCACGCTCAGTCACAACTTGAATTTTGCAAATTTCACCGTGTGCCGCAAATTTTGCAACAAAGCCGCGGAGAAGAAATGCTCTCTGTCTCTCTCTCTCTATATATATATATGTATATAAATAACAGGTCATGCTAAGTTGTTTTGATTTACGCTAAATGCGCGCAGAAGGGTGCGTCAGAAAGGTACTCCGCGTAGCACAAGTTTCGACCATTTTCAAGCTTTTTTACATATGTTGCTCAAAAATGCCATGATTTTGAGGGTCATGCCAAGTTGTTTGTTGTTTTGATTTAAGCTAAATGCGTGCAGAAGGGTGCGTCAAAAAGGTACTCCGCGTAGCAAAAATTCTGACATGCCAAAAAGGCCATTTCGTTGCATATACGCGGCAAATCGGTGAAATTTGCAAAATTCAAGATGTTACTACGCGGACTTTTGGGGTATCTGGTCGGGTGTAATTTTTTTTCCAAACGGACATTCTAAGTTTCAGGCGGTCGCTATACTCTCTATGAGGATCAGGAGCTACAAAGACTTGCTATATACGTACAAATTATCAAGTAAAACTCTGGATCAAAACTCTGCCTCCAATGCACCACAATGTGCTTCCAATTCTGATGGAGGGCCTGTGACAAACATCACCTGGGTAGAGCTTGGAAAAGGTTCATTGATGATGATGATGATGATGATGATGATGATGATGATGATGATGATGCTTAGCTGGGATTACCCCGCCAACTCATTGCGCACTGACAAGAAGTGGCCGTGGAACGGCTCCACTCGTCCGAATGAACGGCTCCACTCTCGCGTCAACCGGCGCGGGCGCTTCTCGAACCGCGCGTCAACCCGCGTCGCGCGTCGCGTCGTGCGTCGCGTGGAGTGCCTGCTTCTCTGTGAGAGTGTCCGTTACGCAAGAAGTTACCATACATGGGCTTCAGGATGGCATCGAGCCTCAGGTGACCCTGCAGGGTGCAGGGTCGCCATCATACCGATCATTCAACCGGTTTGGCAAACAGCCCCATGAGCGACTATGATTTTCCGGTCTGGGCCATACAATTGCTTGACCATAGCATGAATGGAGAGACTGCATACAAATGCTGCCACAAGTTGCTACTGCTTGCGCTGGAGTGAAACTTACAAGGCCCTGATGTCAAGCACGGTAAAGAGAATTTGATCTGATCTTTGACCTGTTGAGACAAGATGTGTACTGGTCGTTGATAGACGACACCTAAGCACAAATGTGCTCAAATCTGTACCACAGGTGGAAAGATATGCCCCCAGCATGCCACAGGCACTCCTCACAAGCCTTCTTGTCACCCACCCTGCCAAACAACCTGCAAACAATTCTTTTTGCAGGTCCATCTATATTGTGCTGTGGTTGCAAAAATGCACTCATCTTTCATCATCTATCCAAGGAAACAGTCACGTCCTTCTGCCCTTGGGTCATTTTCGCCCCAGCTGCGTGACCAGCTCGCAAAGAGTGATGCCAATACTCCACACCTCATCACAACCGGCCGTTGTTCACATCCCTTCGATTACAGCTGTCAATCCAGGGGCTCTTCTTACGTCAGGACAGGGTTCTTGAGTGGTTTACCCAACTGTACCCTGGTTTCCTGAACAGGACATGGACCCTGTCAGGGACCCAATACGGTCACCTGGCATCCACAAACACACCGCTGACCTCCCTGGCGATGAGCTGTCGTTTTTTCACGCCAGAATCTTCTCTCGTTGCGCGATCGAGAGGCATCCAAGTGAGGCCTTGCAATGATCTTGTTCTCGGCCTCATCGATGAGAAACCTGCGCTGACCACTGTGGGGAGTTTATCTTGGATGTCGTCTGTGCTTCCCAAATCAGAATGATGGTGGTTGAGGTTGGAGCCAGGCCAGCGAAAACAGTCAAGGTATCCCAACTGCAACCATGGGGCATAGGGACATGAGGTATCTCACACATCATGAGTAACTGAGTAACAGTTGCAGAAGGAGGCTAACTGCCACGGCAGCACCTTGGCCATTCAAGGCTGACGAATCTGTACGCAACCTGTTCTCGTCGAGTCGAGAAAGTCTGCACTCGCACACTTTCGACGAGATTCGAGCAGATTTCGAGCTCAGCTCGGCCATTTGTTGATTCACCAGCACCAGGAACAAAGACGCTACTAGGGGCTCCTGGCATCGCTACTAGGAACCAGAAGCTACTAGGGGCTCCTGGCCTTACTACTAATTAGATCTAATGAGGAGCAATGTTCGCTACTAGGAACAATGATGTCTTTGCACCCTTGGCTCCCAGCCTGGCCCATTCAGGTGCGCAGTAGCATGGGGAGAAGGAGATGGAGGAGTCGTTGATCGACACCTCAAACGGGTCGTCGTGTGGGTGTTTCACTACCTGGCGTTTCTCGGAGTCTCAGGGCCCTTTGACTGGACGAAAAGAGCTGCTTCAGAACCGCCCGGTGGTGGATTTGCCCCAAACATGACATTGCCCGGTGGATCAAGGCTTGCATGCCGGCCGTCCGAGAGCTCATTCGAACCTCAAGCTGGCCGACTGGAACCTCCTAGGAACCTCCGGTTCGCGACGGACCTCGAGATTCGATCGGTCATGTGACGTGAAATCGCTCAAGATCTAATATCGAACATTTACTTCTTTAATTGGCATTCCTTTACACTGGCCAATCCCTGCTCAAGCTTGGTAGATCTGAAGTTTGTTGGGAATCAGAATCATTGAGGTCCTTGTAGGGTATTCAGCAGCATGAATCACGTGGCGAAAGCTCCAAAAATGGCTGCCCCCTTCCAGGAAGTTCCAGGTGTCAAGATCCAGATCAGAAAGTATTACGTGCAACTTCATAAACATGTTATTCCATTCTTCAGCCCAGTTTGGCCTCAGAACCCCAATCCGGTCGTTCTCCCACCACGTAGACGCGCCGCGCTGTCTACGCGCTGAACACAGCGCCATGGTGCTTCACTGTCGATCGGCACGCAGCCGTCCACGTCGATGAGCTTCAGACGGCCGTTGAACATCATGAGATTCTCCGGTTTCAGGTCCTCCCGTCGAAGCGGCGACGAACCGGCCACCGCTCCTCCCATGCAGCCGGGTGAGCATCGCCCGTGCGTTGGAGTCTGGTTCTGGACTTCTTTCGCTCGGAAGGGAAGCTGCCCACTGCTGCTAAATCAGATCCTACATCAGAATCTTCCAAGAACATCCAAGAACTAATTCAAAAACTATAGAGAAATCAACTCGTGTCCCTGCCCACACCCTGGTCGCTTCTAGTTTCGTCCGGACTTACAGCAACGGCCACCATCTTCATGCGGGGTGGCAAATTAAGGTACAAGTAGGTCACTCTATTGAGAAACAAACACCCAAGTTGACAGGCTCATCCCCGAATCTGCGGCAGGCTTGTCTTCTTTGTCATGGAAACATCAGTGGTCACCAGGACTTGAAGAAGGGTTTTGGCCAACTGCCCATAAATTTTGCCCAGATCATAGATCCAATATGATCCAATGAAGGATCAACTCCGTCTACTCTGACTTGCCCACCATTTGGGGAGTTAGTAACAGTTACCCTTTCCCAAATGGTGGCCATCCGAACCTCACTGAAGCCGAGACTGGCAGGTCGCCGAGACTGGATTGGACTGGGCACCCGAGCCAAGTGCACCAAGCCTTTGGCGTGCAAGCCGGCCACCACCAAGATGATCGCTCGAGCACACGCCTGGAGACGCTGAAAAAGGCGGCCAGAACTGTTCGGATGGGGTACACGAGCCCATATATATATATATATGCAAATGTATATATATATATTTATATAATATATATATATATATAAGCTGACCATGCCGAATCTGCTGAGACTTCTTCCGGTCTGCAGATAAACCAAGGGCCGGTCCACCAGTCCGTCCACCGGTCCACCGGGAGGACGGTCGAGCTTCGGATGGCCTTGATGGACTCGCGGCTCAGTGGCTTGTTCTTCTCCCGTTTCAGGGCGAAGTAGTCCTGGACTACTGGGCTCCAGCCGTGCGGCGGTTTGGAGCGCGGCGTTGGTCTTGGAAAGCGCGTACGGCGCGTACGTGCGCTGAAGAGCGCGCTGAAGAGCGCGCGTACGCTGCGCCAAGCACGTTGGGTCATGATGTGAGGTGTATCATAAGCAACAGGATGAAATGTCTGAAAGGGTGCTACTGATTGCCCTACTTGCCCAAGTTGGGAGCAGCATCGCATCGTCGCAGCGACCCTGAGGCAGAAAAGGCTCGAACGATTTGTGACCGGTGACCGGATTGGTTCCACCATGTTCCACCTCTGAGCTTGGTCTGTCATTGGAACATGTTGGCACATGGCATCCGCATCTGAAATCCAATCGTCCTCTTTCAGCCACTGCGTCACCCCTCTTTTTCTCCGCACGATGGGCATAGAAGGCCCTGGCTGGCGAACCGCTGTCACCCAGCCGACGTCACGGCAGCGAGGGGCAAAGCCCATCGAGGGACGTCCAGAACGTGCAGGCCGTGGCTGCCAGGGCAGTGCCGCGTGAATACCACTTCCCCCTTGGGACCGAGAGATAGAGGTCGACAGATGGGAGGGCACGGCCGAGTTTGAGTGAACGGCGGCCTGGAGGTGATGACAAACACAACTCCAACGGAACTCAGAACTCCAAACTCTTCATCTCTTCACCTGTTTTTTTCGCTTTGCGTATATATCTTCAAACAAGTGGAGATTTATATGTGTATATATATTATATATATATATATTATGCATATGTTTCAACTGAACCACTTCAGGACCTGCAACTTGAGTTTCGCCTCGGATACTTCCGGTATGAGTGCAGGTTGAAAACGGAACTGTTGACGACACCGTTCATGAACTTCAGAAAGTGTGTTGTAAGCTGTCAAAATCGTTCACGGGGATGCTCACACCTAACCTGCTACACCTCTTTGACCCCTAAAATAGGGGACAACAACCTAGCAATTACACTGGTGCTTAAACAAACCAACATACGTCTGTATGTTAAAGTAGTTAATGCTGCGACCCGAGTCTATTGGTTTGACAAGAAAACACACAACGACATGCCCTGAGAAAATGAATACAGTTGGGTCATCATTTTTAGCGCACTGTTGTTCCCCCCTGTCCAACGATCTCGCTGCGTCATGCTACGGAAGCTCATCCCATCCACTGCCGCAGAAAAACTGGGCGATCTCCTCGTTGGAGTGGGCTCCTGAGCTGTACTTGGAGTGGGCATTGCACGTCCTATCAAAACAAAAGGAAACACTGTGCCATAAGGAACGGCCAACAAATTGGAATCCCCTGGCTTGGAACCCGGTTAGAGCCAGATTCGGAAAATCGGCTGGATTCTGAGACTAGGGTTCTGAAACTGGGATTCTGAAACTAGGGTTCTGAAACTTGGATTCTGAAACTGGTATTCTGAAACTGGGGTTCTGAAACTAGGATTCTGAAACTGGGGTTCCGAAACTAGGATTCTGAAATTCGGATTCTGAAGCTTGTATTCAGATTCTGCAACTGGTATTCTGAAACTGGGATTCTGAAACTGGAAAGTCAGATTCTGCAACTGACATTCTGAAACTGCAACTGGTGATCTCCACATCATGCGATAGCGTGTGCCTGTGACTTCATCTTCGAAGCGCATCCAAACCAACATCATTAGCCCCCCACCCAACCCCCCCAACCCGCCAACCCCCCCTTGTCCCCATCGTGTGATCTCGACATCATGCCAACCCCCTCATCATTCACAAAAGTTGCGGAATCCTAATGAGGGAATCCACAATTTTGCGGAATCCTAGTTGCGGAACGCCAGTTGCGGAATCCCAGTTGCAGAATCCTAGTTGCGGAATCCTAGTTGCGGAATCCTGACAGTTGTGGA